GGCCCGGGGGCGGGTCCCCGGGAGGGAGGGGGCGCCGGCCCGCGGCGAGGGCAGCCTCACCGTGACTAAGCACCCGGCCGGAGGGCGGCGGGGTGCGGGTAGAGGAGGAGGAGGGGTGGGGCTCCCCGGCCAAGGGTCGGCGCGGCCAGGGGCGGAGCCGTCCCCCACCCGGTCCCCCTCCTTGCGCGCGAGGGCCGCCCAGCCGGCCTTGCCCCAAGCGAGGATCGTGCGGCTGTCTCTGCGCCGCCGTCTTCCCCCGGCACCTGTGTCCCCGCTCCGGAGTGGCGTCTACCGGATGTATGTTTCTGAAGGCCAGTGGGGCGAGGAAGGATGAACGCCCTCTTTTGTTTTACCCAGGCTTTCCCGAGCGGGCACCTTAGCAGTTGCCAGTGGCGCCTACTTTTCCTCGAGGAAGGGAGATTTGCCTCCATTAGTTTGGAGGATGATGCTTCTCCGAGTTTGATCCACAGACCACCTGGAGCGCTGATTCTTGGGCCCTAACCTAGATCTACTAAATCGGAACCTTGGGGCAGGGACCTCAGCAATGCAGACTTGAAACAACACCCTCTCCAGCTTTCAGATGATTCTTAAGCACATTTAGTTTGGGAAACATTGGAGTAAATGTTTTTGTGATCCACAGATGAAGCATAAAGATAGGGTAAAGATGGAGACAAAAGCATTTTCCTCCCAAGCTGTAAAGACTGGGGTGTCGTTTTAGAGTATCTGGAACTACCAACTGCACAACAAATTAGTACGTGGGCTTTGAATTTGTGTGGTGATAGTCCACCGTCTATGGCGTGTGCCTATCACCCACGAGGCTGAGAGCTCTGTAGGCAGAGGAGTGAAGGTCCGGGTCACGGAGAAGCTAAGCTCAGCACCCTGAAAGGGAATGGGAACCAACCACACTCCACTTAGAATGATAGCCGATTTTTTTTTTTCAGCTTTTTTTTTTTTCTGATTAAAAAGTAAAATAAGGGAAGAAGGGAAAGTTGTTTCTTCCAGCAGAATGCCATGTATTTATATAAATGTAGAAGGAACAACAGTTAGAAAAATCACCATTTTGCAACTATCATAGTGACCTAATATAGCAACAATTGTGTCATTAAACATCAATGAATGTTAAAACCACTGAGTGAAAGTTTGATGGGGAAAGCTTATTTACACAGTCTTAGAAAATGTCCCCTCAGATTGCTTATTGATCACAAAGGGAAAAATGGTAACTTTACAGTGGGTCAGACACCACCTTATCCAAGTGATCAAAGTCAAATTCTGTTACCAATTTTGCTTGCCTCCAGTGGGACTTGAACCCATAATCAAAGGGGACCTGAGGAAGAGCCCAGGGCCAGTGGGCCTCAAACCCACAATCAGCCCTTTTCTTCCTTGGAGGTTCTTTTCTGTTTGGTGTCATGGATGTGAAATGAAACAAGCTGAGCGTTCAACAGCACAAGCTTTAGTCAATGGCCACCGAATGGAGAAGTGGGAACTATGTTCACAGATCAAATTCTCAGCTCCTGGGGTGATTAAGCAGCTGTTATAAGGGGTCTAGGTAATGAAGGGGAGAATATTCATAGTTATTTGGGGAAATAGGCAGGCTTTTCTGGGGAGCAAGGGTGCCACCTCTTTTCTTTCCTTGTTTGGTTATGTCTTGCAATTGCAAACTGTCATGGTGTCGGTGGGTGTGTTCTATAATATGGGAGTGTATTACGAGTGTATAATGAGCTGCAGGGTCTATGTCAGGTCAAGTCAGACTGCCATGTTGCCTTCAACTGATTTTGACTGGTTTTGTTCAGCCATCTTCTGCCTTTCTTTGTGGTCTCCTGCAAGCCAAAGACAATACATTAGACTTGTTCTGAGCGGAGTTGTGGTTAATGTCTTAATGGGGTCAGGGGCCAGGGTAACACTATCATCGTGATAATTGTGTCATTAAACATCAATGACTGTTAAAACCACTGAGTGAAAGTTTGATGGGAAAAGGTTATTTATACAGTCTCAGAATATGTCCCCAAAGATTGCTAATTGATCACAAAGGGAAAAAATGGTAACTTTTGAGTGGGCCAGACACCAGCTTATCCAAGTGATCAAGGTCAAATATTGCCAGTAATGAGACAGTTGTCATTGTGTGCCTCATGATGTGAAGTAAGAAATACACAACTTCACTTACGTAGTGTTCCTGCTAAAAATCCATAACCTGAATCTAATCATGAGGTAACACTCAGAAAAACCCACAATGAGAGGAATTTTACAACTAGCCTGTACTCTTTAAAAACTACCAATGTCTTGGGGCCGGCCTGGTGGCACAAGCAGTTAAGTGCGTGCGCTCCGCTATGCAGCCCGGGGTTCGCCGGTTCGGATCCCAGGCGCTCACTGACGCTTGTCATGCCATGCTGTGGCGGCATCCCATATAAAGTAGAGGAAGATGGGCACAGATGTTAGCCCAGGCCAGTCCAGGCCAGTCTTCCTCAGCAAAAGAGGAGGATTGGCAGATGTTAGCTCAGGGCTGATCTTCCTCATAAAACAACAACAACAACAAAAAAAACTATCAATGTCTTGAAAACAAAGCAAGGCTAAGGAACTATTCTAGGTTAACGAAGATTGAGGAAATATGAGAATTAAAGGCAAGGCTTGATCCTGGTTGGGATTCTGGATTGGGGAAAATCACTATAAAGGACAATTGATGAAATTTGAATATGGCAGGTGTAATATATAATGGTACTACATCAGTGTTAAATTTCCAGAGTTTGATCATTGTACTGTGGTTGTATGAGAGAATATCCTTGTTTTTAAGAGATGCACATGAAGTATTTAGGAGTAAAGAGTCTGAGTTAGAGAAACTTGGATTCATATTCCACCACAGGTGCTGTCATAGTCACTTAAGCTGAGTGTCAGTTTCTTCATCCGAGAAATGGGGAGGCTGACAAAAAGGAAATAAACATGTCGGGGCCAGCCCCGTGGCTTAGTGGTTAAGTGCTTGCGCTCAGCTACTGGCAGCCCGGGTTCAGATCCCGGGCACGCACCAATGCACCGCTTGTCTAGCCATGCTGAGGCCACGTCCCACATGCAGCAACTAGAAGGATGTGCAGCTATGACATACAACTATCTACTGGGGCTTTGGCGGGGCGGGGGGAAGGAGGAGGATTGGCAATAGATGTTAGCTCAGAGCCGGTCTTCCTCAGGAAAAAGAGGAGGATTAGCATGGATGTTAGCTCAGGGCTGATCTTCCTCACACACAAAAAATAATAATAATGAATAAATAAATAAAACTGTTTTAAAAAAAGGAAATAAACATGTCAAACAAAGAGAGTAACTTAGAGTGGAGGAAATGAGAGGGCGGAAACTGGAAATAGTAAGTAGAGCAGTGCAGATTGGCTGGACCGTAGGCAGCTTGAAGAGGGTAATGGGAGATGTGTGGAGTCCTAGAAATCCTTGGTAAGAAATAACCAGGCTAAGGTGTTTGGACTTGACAAGCAGTAGGGAGTCACTGGAGATTTCTCAGAGATGTCTTTCCCTGGAAATATATAAAATGAAGACAGTGGAACTGGCAGTATGGGAAGGAAAGGTAATAGGTAGCAGTATTGAGAACAGACAGGAAGGAACAGAATGAACAGACATAAAGAAGTGAAATTGATAAGTTGCAGGGAGGGGACAAGAATCAAAGATGACAAGTCTTGAACCAGGAAATATGGGAGAAAAATGATGCTGTAAAGCAAACATAAAGATGAAAGGAAGTAAAGGTCTATGTCTCTGCTAGTTTGAAAAGAGAAAAGAACTTTTTAATGATCTAATTACATAATCCCATACAATATGTTGAAACTAAAGATTCATAAGGTGTTATTTGAGACTAAAATATTTTCTTTTCATGTAAGCGTCTTTCCTTTTTGCTTCAGACTTAGGTGGGAAGGGGAAAGGTAGCCATATCCCAAGCACTTGAAGACTTCAGACCATGTCTAAGCTTTCTTTTCATCAAGCAAACAAATGTCAGCTAACGTAAAAATTTAGTTAATGTAAGAGATAATAAGTTAATAAGAGTTTCAGGATGATATTAAATGCTGGGAATAAAAATCAACTAAGTTATCATTCAAATGTGGCAGTCTTATGATATCATTATAAACTAGCATGATTTGTGAGAAACAGCAGACCCCCAAACAATTATTTCACGTTTTAATTATTTCCTCATTAACTATTTTCTTTTGAACACTAGACCAAGGTGATTTCCACCAAGACACTGAAGTATTTGTCAAAATAATAAGTAATTAATAGGTATTGAGCTAAGCATTGTGTTTATGAGCTTTGTTAGGCTGGTGCTAAGAGTTTTACATGTTATCCCCTTCTCAGCCCAAGAAATAAATACTATTATTATCTCCATTTTATAGACGAGGAGACTGAGGCTCAAAGAGGGTAAATAACTTGTACAAGATTACACAGCTGGTGAATGGCAGAGCAGGGATTCAGATCCTGGAGGCTTAACTCTGAAGCCTGTTCTCTTAACCATTACTGGAAAGAAGCCATCATAGATAATGTCCTATGGTGAAAATACAAGATCTAAGATTTTTTTTAATGATATTTTTTTGTAGGAGAAAATGTTAAGTATCACTTTTTATTTCTTATTTTTTTTAAATGTAGCTCGCTCTCCTTCTGCATTTTTTCTATAGTATAATTTGTAGGAAATATATTCATGACTCATAAGTGACTAATGTGTTTATTGGTTTTTTTAAAGTGTAAAATTTAGTGAGTTTTGA